CTGACCAATTGGAAGTGCAGGGTCACTGGAAGAAAGAACGAGACATGGAAGAAAGGTGAAGACCAGGGACCAGAGAACATCCAGATGATTGGGGGATCGCAAGAACATTCTATGGAAACCATCATACTCGACAAGTTAAATCACTCAAGTCAATAATGTGGCACTTCCCCTCCAATATCCTCAGAATTTGGAGAAGGAGTGCGGTTCAGAGGAAAGAGGGGGGCTTCGGGAGTTAGACCCACTTGGTGCTGCAAATCCCAGCTCTGTAAGTTATTGGCTAGAGGGTATTAGTCCTTGATTTTCTCCTCTGTAAAATGGGGATAATAATAACTACCTCATAGGTCTATCGTAAGAATTAAATAGCAAAGTAGGGTGCTCAAGAACAATGGGTTTTAGAGGCTGAGTCTTGGGTCTTCCACCTTCTGGGAGACCCTGGACTATTTACATAATTTCTGCACTTTACTTTCCTCATCTGTAAAATGGGATAATAATAACAACTCTCTGAGTTGTACTGAGGATTACATGAGATGCAGCTAGAAAAGAACTAAAAACAAGACCGGTACATAGAAAGTGCTCAGAAAAGATGAGCTACAGGGCAGCGTAACCGTGAAGAGTGTGGGCACCAGGCTCGAGACCTGTGTGTGACTTGCGCCCCTGCCACGTACTGGCTGTGTGATCTTGGGCTGGTGACTTCACCTCGTGTCTCAATCTCCTCATCTTAAATTGAGGATAATAATAATATGTGCCTCATGGGTTTGAAAAGAGGATCAAATAAGAACATATATGTAAAGTGTTTAGAAGGGTGTCTGGTACCTAAGTGTTCTATAAATGTTAATTATTACTAGCTTTGATTATTCTATTTCCCTTCCCTTTCCTGGTGTCTGTAGGATTTTCTGCTCCTATCTAGGTGAAGAGAATTTGGACTGAGGCTGAAGTGAACGACTCTGAGGGGGACCACTCGAGGGCTCTGTGGGCCCCGAGCGCTGGCCGGGCTCCTTCCTGTACCTCCTTAGCCACAGCCTCCGGCCTCCAGCCCTGCCTCTTCAGAGTGAGCCCAGGGGCCTGGGGGCCCCATTTTGGAGCCGGCTTTGCGGTCAGGCAGCCATAATCTGTCCCTCGAGCCACACCAGAGTCTCATTAAAATGTGCCCCATAAATGTTAAAAAATTTACACATAAAAAAATTCCATGCATGAAACTGAAACCGTACGTTTTACAGCCTCAGTTTGAAATCTTGCATAATATATAAAACCTCAGCCCTGCACTGGGGGCCCGTAAATCAGATTTTATAAAAAAAAGCTTTTACCTTTCAAAGGGGTTTGGGGAACTTGCAAATTTTACAGACTTTACCAACTGCCAGTCTGAGGCTGCTAGGCCCAAGCAGGGGACCAAGATGAGCCCTGGGTGGTGTGGGAATTGGAGTGGCAGGTGTCCCCAGGGGAGCTAACCAGGGGGGGTTCCAGCGTAGCCACCATGGGGGTAGAAAGCCACCCCCATAATATAAAGAGTGTGGACATCAGGAGGAGAGACGCTGGTGGTACTCGGTAAATGAAGGCTCTATTGCCCCAGGAAGTAGAGAGGTGGGGTGACATAGTGGAAGGAGCAGAGACCAGGAGCCAGCAGACCTGGGTTCTGGTTCTGACAAGTCATTTCCCTTCTCTGGGCTTTAGTGTCCCCATCTATAAAATGCCGGAGCAGGGTGCGTTGGGCTTACTTCTTTCAACACTTGCGTTTTCCCCTAACGTTCTGTGATCCTAAGTTTCTCTTCCCGCAGGGGTGCTATCAGAGCTGCTGGCTACCCAGGGGAGGGAAGTTCCTTCAGAAGCCTACAATCTGGGAACCTCTCTGATCTGTGGGCAGCTCTCAGAGAGCTTACTCAGCCCTTCCCCCGGGAACTTGTCTGGGAGACTGTCGGGAGCAGGGGAAGGTACAACTGGCATGGACGAGATGGGGGCGGCCAGCTGGAGGTGGGAGGATTCATGTCCAAATGGTGGGCCTGGTGGCGCTGGGGACCATGGGCACACTGGGCTTCAGAGAAAGCAGGATGAGAGCGAGGCTCGAAGGCCCAGGGTGGGACAAAGTTTTGGGGGACCCCAATTGCTCCTGACAATCCCATCTGTGAAAGTCAATATTCAAGGGCAAAGGAAAGCCGCCCTGACATACATATATATAAAAAATAAATCTCTCAATTATCTCAGCTCATTTGCTTGGGGTCTCTCATTTTATGTCCCTGCTCTGCTGCGCAGTATATCTGTCCGGATAAAGAGTTACAGTCCGTTGGGCTACGTGTGCGGGGTTGTAAAAAACACAGATGCCAAATTAACTGGCTGTGGCACTCGGCAGCTGATTGAGCTGATAATGACGCGATCTGACCTTTTTCTAATTTCTAATTATGTGCATCTCAGCTGTGCTAGCTACATGATTCTTATCCTAATGATGGCTCCTGTGGTTGGCCTCTTCATCTCCCCCCTCCCATCACAGGACTACAAGTGGGGTGATAAAGGGCACTGCTTGACTCCCTAAATAAAGTTTCAGGGTCCCAGCCACATAGTCTCTTTGATGGCAGGAGGTGAGGCTGGAAAGCTGGAAAGTCTTGCCTTAGTGATACTGCATTTGAGATTAACCTTCTGGACGCCACACATTTTTAAAGGCCATTTAGTTCCACAAGCCATCTCATTAATTTTTTTATTACAGTCTCATGAGATAGGTGTATTAGATCTACAGATGAGGAGACCGAGTTTCAAAGAAGTTAGGTCATCAAAGGCGCACAGATAGTAAGCAGTGAAGCTAGGTTCTGGTCTTTTATCTCTAAGTGCTCCTTCAAACTGTCTCCATTTAAATAATTGACCAATCAACCAGTCATTGACTGCGGCTAACTCATCTAGGTAAATTAGGTTCACATGGGGGGATGGTATGTCCAAGGATTGCTCCTCCAACTGGACCACTCCCAGCCCAGTCACCTGAGATAGAAGACCAGGGAACACCAGAGGTCTGGGGACCCTGGGGCAGTCCTGACAACATCCACATCCCTAGGTCAGGCCTGGCACCTAGCAGACACTTAACCAAGGCTTGTCATATTGAATCAAGAAATCTGATTCTTTGAGTGAACAGAACCCAGAGAGACCCAGGTAGTGTTGGCAAGGGGAAAGCACGGAGCTGGCCACTCTTCAGCTGTACTAGACTAGGAGGCTGTCCTCCGTGGGTCTTCCATAGCTCACCTGGCAAGTGGTGGTGGGCAAGTTAAGTGAGGTTTGTCTCCCCAGGGCTCTTACCTCTTGAGAAGGTTTAAATTCACTCATATTACTCAGTCTGATTTTAGGTATTTCCTACCAACTTAGGCCTCAGTTTCTTTTTATGTCAAGCGATAGAAGTGGGTCCTCACACCAGGTCTGTTCCAGTTCCAGGAGAAATGGTGGCTTATCTCCTGGCTCCATGGCTGCTGTGGGTCTAAAGCCTGCTTCACAGCTGCAGCTCTGAGATTCTGATCAGCACACAGCAGGGCAGGGCAGGGCAGACCAACCTGCACTTACTATTCGGCCAGTTGGAGAACCTGCATGGGGAGGCTCTCCCAGGGGACCTGGGAGACAGCAGTCTGGGCTCCTGGGGAGTGGCTGCTGGGTCCCAGCAGGGAAGAAGGAGGGCCAGGGATGAGCAGAGGTGGACCTGGTGGTCTCAGATACCTGTGCTAACACTCCTGATGGTGACAAGTGCTTATCCTCTGGCCCAGGCCTGCTCCCTCTCTCTAAATGCTGCCCTCATCTTAATGCTTCACAAATTTCCAGGCCGGGGTGGGCTCTCCTGGTAGCTCTTTTGGACTCTACAGAGTATCATATTCAACTCCTGAGAGAAGTGGTGGGGTGGATAATTTACAGCACAGACTAATACCCAAGTCATTTAAATCTGTTCTGCAGATGCACTGTGTCTGTATGTGTGTGTGTGCATGTATGTGTATACGTGTGTGTGTTGTTTGTATATATGTGTGTGAGTGTGTGTATGCGTGTACGCTTTCTTTCTCTCTTTCTGGATCCACATTTGCTTTTCTAATTCTCTTTCCCTTTTGGGAGCAGGTACCTGCTGAACTCTGGATGCAAGAGGTGAGCACTATCATCAGTTTGTGGAGGAGACTTTTGCAGTTTCCAAATTCACTGTGCATAATCTGGGTAATCCACCCCCAGAAAAATCAAGAATTGTGGTTAATATTTCCGGGATGACCATTTATCAAGATGAACGAACACAGCAGCCTCTCTCCTGCTCTCTCTCAGCAGAATTCCCAGAGCTAGATGAGAATCTCAGATGTCACACAGCCTGGTGGTTACCAAACGTTATTGATGATTGCAAGTGCCTGGGAAACTTTTAAAAATGTAGTTTCACAGACCCGACCAAACTTACTGAATCACAGTTTCCAGGTGGTGAGGCCCGGGGATACGTAATTTTTTAAAAGCTGTAGTGATGATCTAGATGACAAGCTAGGTATGGGAGCCTGATCTACTGCGTCCTCCTAAAGGGCAGGACATCTGCTGGTCTTCTTCTCAACATGACTGTGTCTCCAGGTCTTTCTAACTATTGATGAGCTTGAATATGCCTGTCACCCACATCCTCCACACTGTGGCACACCTGCTACCGGCTCCTCTCTGGGCAGACCAAGACCGATTTACTAACATACCAGGACTCCATCCCTCAGAACAGCTACCCCAGACATTCTGGCTTCTATGACCCTCCTTTCCTCCTGTCCGCTCTGCAAGAAGGTGGGTAGCAAGATGCTGGCGCCACAGTGGGCAGAGAAGGGGAGAGCTTTGGCAGCGAAACCCGTGTATGCGACTCTTGGTTTAAGGGACTTAGAAACCGTTCTCAGCTGCTGAAAGGGTGCATCTAGTGTCTGCCCCATGGTGGACATGCAAACATTTTTGTTGAACGAATGAATTAAAGGATCATTTCTAGGGCATTTGGAGGGGATCAGAGGGTAGGAGGACCCTAGCCAGGGTGGAGGTTGGAGGGTCTTTACCAGATTGTCCAGTTCTGGGTCATCGCTGAAGAAGGGTTTGTGCTCCTGCTCCTGCTGGTGGACAAAGTTCTCGATGTCCACATCAAAGCTGGCGGAGGTGATGCACTCAGAGCCCTGGGTGGCCTGTTCACATTTCTCAAACAGCAGCGTCAGGAGCGGGAAAAGAGGGTGCCTGCGGGGACACGAAGAGCTCACACATGCGCACACATGGAGACCTGCGGCTGGCGGGTCCCATTCCCACATTCCCACCACTTCTTCTCCCAAGGTGCCACTCCTTGAGAACGTCCCCATTCCCCAAGGTCAGCCTAGATGGCAGCATTTCCTGCCCTGGCACAGAGGATCCAGTCTCCCAATTCCTGGGGCTGCAGAAGGCTCTGTTCCTCCCCACTTGGTGACTAACTTTTCCCTTTGGTCAGATAAGCTGCAAGGACATTTGATGAGAGATGATGGGTATAACCCTTCAAAGAGGTAGGTGTCCATTTCTGGCTCAAGGTCAGTCTGGGAAGGAAACATATTAAATGTCCAGAGAAGTTCTGGACATGAACGTTAGTGGTTGGTCACAGACCCACTCTTGTCGGCCTGGAGCCAGCTGAGGGCAGAACCTGTGTGTGGGTGTGTGCAGGGGGATTGGGTGTGAGAGCAAATCGTCCACACATGGTGGGCAGATGTCTGCACCTGCCCTGCATCTGTTGGCCAACTCAGTCTAAGTCAGACGCCCCAGATACATGAGTAACATCTCCCTGCGCTTTTCCATCATCGCACACTTAGCACAGCTGTAATTAAATGATTATTTGCATCATTATTTGTTCACTGTTTTCCTCCAAGACTGTCTCTGTCTTAATGATCCTATATCCTTAGGACCCTGCCCTGCATGCTCATAAAAAGGCACTTCATAAATATTCAGTGACTGACAATGAATCAGTGAATGGAGAGTCTGTGAGTGTGAGTGTGTGGGTGTGTCTGGGTGTGGGTCTCTGATGTAGATATGTCAGCTGAAGTGCTTACCTGAACGGCTCTGTGGGTCTCAGCTTCGACATCACTGACTCCAAGAAACTTCCTTGACTCTCCCCCCTAACGCCTACCTATGCTGACAGCTTCCTGAGATGTTTGTTTCATCATCTGCCTTCCTCAATGGACTGTGAGCTACATGAGGGCAGGAATCCAGCCACCTTATTCATCCCTGTCTGCCCAGAGTCTAGCAGAGGTATGTAGATCCCAGTATCTGTTGAATATGTATGGTATGTATGTGCCTATTTGCATATATAAGTGCCTAGCATTCTTGTTTCTCTGCAGCATGTGTGAACAACCATGCCTTAACATCCAGCACATGTGTATGTGTGTGGGTTGTTGACACTGGACTCTGGAGCCCCATGCCCTCCCATTGTGGTTCCAAAAAAGCCTCTGCACATCCCTCTCTGGTCTCTTGCTTCAGTCCCCTGGGACCATGAAATCTAGCTCCTTTCCTTTTGAGTAAGCCCTGCCTGCTGGGACAGGAGAAGTACGTGTGCTGGGCCTGGCCCCCAGGCCTCTGCCAAAGGGAATGTTCTAGCCAGCACTGCCCAATAGGACTTGCTGCAATGATGGAAATGGTCTACAATCTCTGCTGTCCAATATGGTAGCCACTAACTACATGAAGCCAATGAACATTCAAAATAAGACTGTTGTGGGGGCCGGCCCAGTGGTGTAGCGCTTAAGTTTGTGTGCTCTGCTTTGGCAGCCCGGGGTTCACAGGTTCGGATCCCGGGCGCGCACCAATGCACTGTTTGTGCAGCCATGCTGTGGCGGCATCCCATATAAAGTGGAGGAAGATGGGCATGGATGTTAGCTCAGGGCCAGTTCTTCCTCAGCAAAAAGAGGAGGATTGGCATGGATGTTAGCTCAGGGCTAATCTTCCTCACACACACAAAAAAGACTGTCGTGTCTAGCACATTGAATTTTAAATTTAATTTAACTAGTTTTAAATAGCCACATGTGGCTAGTGGCTTCCATACTGGAAAGCACAATAAGTCATGAAAAGGAAAATAGACCATGCTTTCTCCCTCCAGCACGCCATGATTAAACACACCCAGAGAAGGGCTGAATGTGCAGCCTACACAGTGTTTGTAGGTAGATGGGGGGGCCTGCCCCATTTGCGCATTCTAATAATTCTAGGCAAAAAAACAGAAGGTGCTTAGCCCCATCCACACTCAGACCCACACCTACTGGTCATTCTACTCAGGCCCAGGGGCAGTAGGGGATGGGTGGAGATGAATTCCTGCTTCAGATGAGCTGCCTGGCTTGGCAAAGCCAGCCCCTGGGCACTGTCTCCTGACCCCTGTTGTGGAAGTTCATGCATACACTGCTGGGCCCCACGCCTGCAAGCTCAGTTATAGTCTGGAGGGAAACAAGGCTCAGTGTCTGAGGGCGGCCCATATGCAGCCCCAAACTGCTAGAAGATCTATTCAGCCCCCGCAGGAAGCTGGTAGAGAAAACAATGGGTTCACTTAGCCATTGGGCTGAAGACAAAGAGAAAACCAGGTGAAGGGTTAAACTCCAGTCTAAGTCTTCATTTGCAGCCACTAATACTGCAGCATATTATAGTCTAATCTAACCTGATCCCAGTTTAATGCAAGATTCTCCTGACCCTGAGTGGAATACCAAAGAAAGCCTCAGTGGCTGTAATTTAAGCAGAGCCCTGCAGTGGTTTAGCTGAGGGACATGAAAGGCAAATTCCAGACGGTGTTATGAATTATTGCGCCTTATGAACCTTCCTACTCTCAACAGATGCCTGCTGCCATTTAAACAGCCACTAGATCAATTAGGAATGAAAGGCACAAATCGACTCTGTACAAGGGCACTAAATTACCAGGAACTAATAATCCGCAGCATCGTGCCAGGTGGTGGGGGTGCGGCCCCCGCCCCAACCCCGCGCAGGCGCCGGTCACTGCGAGTTCCTTTCCCACTGGTTGGAGGGAGGGTGGGCAGCTGCTGCATGGAGAGGGGATGGTCTGTGTGTGTGTGCACCTGGGTGAATGTAGGCTGTCAATGAGAGCAAGTGTGAGTGTTGTGTAAGTGTGCTGTCCCGTGCGTTTTTATTGTGTGCACACACGGTGTTGTATATATGCAGTACATATGCATATATGGGTTGTGTGTACGGAATTGGGGTACAGATTTTGTGTGCTGTGAATAGAGAGTGCATATGCCCTATATTGTATGCAGTATGTGTGCATGTGCTATGTGTTTTGTATGCGATTTGTGTGCGGGGATTGTGTGTTCTGTGTACACAGCATGAGTGGCATGTGGGGTGGGGAAGAGGGATCTGCCTGTGACTGAGTCTCCGAGCTATTAGCACTAGAATTGGGGTGGCGAGAGGAGGGTAGTCTCCTCTGCCACTGTCCTTGCTTCTGCAGGGAGGAAAGTGGTCAGAGAGAGCCTCTCTGAGGAGGTGATATTTAAGTTAAGCCTCCAATGATGAGGAGGCAGTCATGCAAAGATCTGAGGGAAGGGTGTTCAAAGCAGGAGAAAAAGCAAAGCACTTGAGATAGGAATGAGCTTGGCACATTTCTGGAACAAAATGCAGACGAGTGTGGCTGGATTGAGGTAGGCAGGAGGGGAATGGAGGGAGATGAAGTTGAAGAGGTAAGCGGGAGTCAGATCATAGGTCTCAGACAGGGCTGGGCTTTGGGGGGCTGGGGGTGAGGTGGGGTGGAGGCATTGTCACATACATTGGGAAACAATGTGCACCTTCTATGCAGAGCCATAGCATGGATCCCTTTTATAAACCTCTCATTTCCAGGAGTTAGATCTCTCCAGAATGGGTGTGTGTGTGTGCGTGCGCGCGCATGTGTGTGTGTCGGGGAGGCATATCTAGGGGTGTTTTCTGTGGCTTCTGCAATCTCCCAGAAGAAGGAAATATGCTTTCCATCCTCTACCTGAAATTAACCAAGGGCCCTTAGAGCACAGAACAGGTTCATGGCTGCCTCTCTCCAGCCCCTTCCCACCTGAGCTGCACTACCAGCTCCCAAATCCTCCCTTCTCACACCCCCCCTTCCCCTGGCTCCTGTCTCCAGTTCCACTCACCCCAATCCCTGTATCCCTGAGCCCAGGAGCTTGGACAGCATCTGATCTTACCCAGGGCTTTTCATATGAACCATCCAGAGTCATTGGGACTGCCTGTGGCTCCCAGGCTGTATCCGTCTGGATCCCTCGATAAACCCAGACTGCTACCTGCTACCTGCTACCTCAAGCGTAGGGATCGCTGAGATGCTCTGCACCCGCCCCCTGACAAACAGGTTCAGTTTCCCAATGACTTAGCTGGGTTCGTGACTGCAGTCATGTCATGGGCTTCTCTAAGGCTGTTCCCAGCCCATGTCCCAGCCCCTTCCCCAGCTGCCCAGCCTACACCTACTAAGGGTTGACCTATATTTCTATCTACCCTCCAACATCACCTTGTAAGACTGGGCATGAGGCTGGAAGCCACCCTCAAGGAGTCCTTTCCAGCAACTCCCACTGCAGGCTTGGGGCAGGTGGGGTGAATAGGATAGGGACCATGAGAGCTGGGCATCTTAGCACCTGGGACATGAATTGCCTTGTCTGAGCCAGGCATCAAATGGGAAGAAGGATTTCCAGTTAGGTTGGGATATTGGTTCTTCTATTCTTGGCCTTCCCTGAGCTTCAGTTTGTCCAACTAAAATGGGTTTAAGGTGTTCCTCTTCCCGCTGCCCAGATCTCTCCCATTGTGCATCAATACCCTTCAGAGGCTAGAAGTAGAAATGTTGAAACTTGGTCCCCAGTGCCCAGACAATGATGAACAAGATAAGAAAGATGGCCATTAAACTTTATTTCCAAGGAGCGAGGACATTTAACCTCCATGAGAGCTCACCTTCTCCCTCCCTGGTCTTTCTCTGCTCTTCTTCCCCTATGTCGCCTCCACCTGACCGCGCCCGCCACCCCAATCTCTCTTAAGCCGTTCAAAATTTGGAGGAAATAAATCTCACTGCACTAATTCAGTGAGAGTTTGAGCCTCGTCAGTGCAGAACAAATAAAAGGAGTGAACTGGCATGACATTTTACTGCAGAAGAGAGGTCGTTTCCAGCCACTAATAAAAAGGATTTGACACAGACTAATAAAGAGAAATGAATTTCTCTAATGGCCTAATTTAGCACATTCAGCACTGTGCCTCTGCCTGGGTGC